AGATAGCAATACACATATGAAAAGATGGCTCAGCATCAAATGTCCTGAGGGAATTGCAAAATAAAACCACCACACACCTATTAGAATGGCTAAAATCCAAAACACTGGCAATGCTAAATGCTGGCAAGTATGTGGCACAACAGGTACTCTCATTCATTGTTGATGGGAATGCAAAATAGTATGGCCACTTTGTAAGAAAGTTTGGCAATTTCTTACAAAACTAAACATGTGCTTACCACATAATTCAGCAGTCATGCTCCCTGTTATTTACCAAAATGAGTTGAAAACTGTCATCACACGAAAACCTGCACGTGAATGTTGATAGCAGTTTTATTCATAATTGACAAAAATTGGAAGCAACCAAAATGTTCTTCAGCAGCTGAATGGATAAACAAACTGTGGTACATCCATACAATGGCATATTATTCAGTGATAAATGAATTATTAAGGTGTAAAAAGACACAGAGGAAGCTTAAATGCAAATTGCTAAGTGAAAGAGTCTAGTGTGAAAAGGCTACGTACTATGTGATTCCAACAATATGATATTCTGGAAAAGGCAAATCTATAATAACAGTAAAAAGAGTGGTGGTTTCAGGGATTAGAGGGGAAGAAGAGAGAAATAGGCTGAGCACAGAGGATTTTTAGGGCAGTGAAACTAGTCTGTATGATACTGTCATGGTCAATGTGTAAATTATGCATTTGTCAAAATCCATAGAACGGTATAGCACAAAGAGTAAACTGTAACGTAAACTATGAACTTGAGTCAATAATAATGTATTCATATTCATCAATTAACAAATGTACCACAATAATGCAAGATGTCAATAATAGAGGAAACTGTGGGGGAGAAGTTAGTATATAGGGACTCTGTACTATCTGCCCAATTTTTCTGTAAACTTCAATCTGCTCTAAAAGATAGTCTATGAATTTTTTTAAAAATGAAAAGAAGTTGGCCAGGCATGGTGGGTCATGGCTGTAACCCTAGCACTTTGGGAAGCTGAGGCAGGAGGATTGCTTGAGGCCAGGAGTGAGTTCTAGACCAGCCTGGGCAACAGCAAGACCCTGGGCAGCCTGGGCAGCAGCAAGACTACTTTTTTTGTACAAAAAGTACAAAATTAGCCAGGTGTAGTGGTGCACCCCTGTCATCCCAGCTACTCAGGAGGCTGAGACAGGAGGATCATTTTAGCCCAGGAGTTTGAGGTTATAGTGAGCTATGATCATGCCACTACACTGTAGCCTGGGCAACAGAGTGAGACTTTGTTTAAAAAAAAAGTCAATTGCATTTTTACATATGAGGAACAATGAGTCAGAAAATATAATTAAGAAGTAAAAGATACCATTTATGCTAGCAACAAAAAAACGATAAGGAACCTAGGGCTAAATATAACAAAATATATGAAAGCCCTTTATGAAGAAAGCTATAAAATTTTATTGAAAGACATTAAACATCAGTTCACATGGAGTGATATACATCCATGTTCTTGGATAAAGACTCAATAAGGGAGAATGTTGATTCTTTACAAGTCAATATGTACATTCAGTGCAATTCCAATACAGTGCTCCTGATGTGTGTGTGTAACTTGAGAAGCTGATCCTAAATGTGTATGGAGGCGTGAAAGGCCAAGAAGAACACGGGCCCTCCTGAAGAGGTTGGGGAACTTGTTCTACCACATGTTAAAACTTAAAAAGCTTTAGTAATTAAGATAGTGTGTCATTGGTCTGGAGATAGTAAGTAGAAAAATGGAACTATAGAGAACCCAGAAAGAGAGTCACATATATATGGAAATTGACTAACAGAAAAGCAGGAATTGTAGAATAGTAGGTAGAGAACAGATTATTCAGTGTATTGCATTGGGACAAATAGTTCTCCATATGGAAAAACAATTAGATACCCCCCCCCGCCCCTCTCTCTCTCTCTCTCTCTCTCTCTCTCACACACACACACACACAATCAATTCTGGTTGGATAAAAGACTTAAATGCAAAAGACAAGTATTACAATACTTAGAAGAAAATGTAGGAGAATATCTTTATGATTTAGGGAGTGAGATTTCTTTTTTTTTTTTTTTGAGACAGAGTCTCGCTTTGTTGCCTAGGCTAGAGTGAGTGCCGTGGCATCAGCCTAGCTCACAGCAACCTCAAACTCCTGGGCTCAAGCAATCCTCCTGCCTCAGCCTCCCGAGTAGCTGGGACTACAGGCATGCGCCACCATGCTCGGCTAGTTTTTTGTATATATATATTAGTTGGCCAGGCCAGGTGCGGTGGCTCACGCCTGTAATCCTAGCTCTCTGGGAGGCCGAGGCGGGCGGATTGCTCGAGGTCAGGAGTTCGAAACCAGCCTGAGCAAGAGCGAGACCAGTCTCTACTATAAATAGGAAGAAATTAATTGTCCAACTAATATATATAGAAAAAATTAGCCGGGCATGGTGGTGCATGACTGTTGTCCCAGCTACTTGAGAGGCTGAGGCAGGAGGATCGCTTGAGCCCAGGAGTTTGAGGTTGCTGTGAGCTAGGCTGACGCCACGGCACTCACTCTAGCCTGGGCAACAAAGTGAGACTCTGTCTCAAAAAATAAAAATATATATTAGTTGGGCAATTAATTTCTTCCTATTTATAGTAGAGACTGGTCTCGCTCTTGCTCAGGCTGGTTTCGAACTCCTGACCTCGAGCAATCCGCCCGCCTCGGCCTCCCAGAGAGCTAGGATTACAGGCGTGAGCCACCGCGCCCAGCCGGGAGTGAGATTTCTTAAGATGCAAAAATTATTTACCATAGAGGAAAAAATGCTGATATTTCTGACTACTTTAAAATAAGCTTCTGTTTATCAAAACACCTTGCAGACAGTGAAAAGACAAGTTTCAAACTCAGAGAAAATATTTGTAGCTATAGAACTGTCAGAGAATAGTAGCCAGAATATGTGAAGAATTCCTATAAATCAGTCAGAAAAATAGCCTAATAGAAAAATGGGCAAAATATAGGACAGACATTTCACAGAAAACATAAATAGCCCAAAAAATATATACAGATTCTAAGCCTTATTAATAATCAGCAAAATGTAAATCCAAAGCACAGCTGGATGCCAATTTATGCTGACCGATTGGCAAACATTGCAGAGTTGGTCAAAATCAAGTGGCGGGATATGGAGGGAACCGAAATCTGCTGGTGGGAGTGTGAAGCGCTGTAGCCGCTTTGGAAAACAAAGTGATTACCTAGCGTTGACTAGATGAAACACAAACTCTGACGACCTGTTGAATAATATATCTAGCAGGGAGTCAGGGCTTTGCTTTTTCCATCACGCACATGGAAGAAAAGTGCATGGTCCTCTTCTGATCTGTTAGAGAAGTCTTTTAAGCATGCATAACTTTTAGGAATACTGAAATGCCACTTACAGCATTATAACCTTAACACAGACTGGGTACAAGGCATGAAATTATCTACAAGTGGCCAAATATAGGTTCCTTTTGGAAGTTGTTTTCCCACGGTGGTTATGTTTACAAATTATTTGTTAATTTATCCCCTAAAGTTGCAGGAGTCTAATGAGCCCCAGGGTTGCAAATAGTGATGAATGTTTACGTGTCCACTCTACATACAAGAACAAGACATTGTACTGAAAGTTCTTAACCAGATCAATCAGGTTCTTTGAACTACTTTTGTGATACTGAGTATTGAATTTCCCAGTGGCTGCGTGGGAATTGGGCACATTTCTCATCTCTGTGACTCCTTTAGTTAAGTATAAAAAATATTCTTAAGGCCAAGCTCTAGAATTTATGACATGACATTATAAGAGAATAACTACCTTGTGGAGCCCTATTTGATTAGTAAATGGAGAGAGTGCTGAATAGGATTTTATTTAATAAAAATGTAATAAGAGTATATTTTTTCCACATTACTAAAATTAAACATGCTCATTCCTACAATGCAGCAATTCTATTCCTAGAGAAATCCTTACATCTGCAGCAGAAGATGTGCATTATCCTGTTCATGGAAATATTGCTCATAACAGCAATAAAACTGGCAACAGTCCAAATGCCCATTAAGGGTAGAAAATGTATAAATAAAATTGTGCTATGTTTATACAACAGAAAGCTAGACAGCAGTGGAAATGAATGAACCACAATTATATACATTAATAGTAAATTATAAAAACATAGAATTAAAAAAGTACAAAGAGCATATATACAAGGTGACTCCATTTATATAAAGTTCAAAACGGGCACCACCAAACAGCATGGTGTCGCCTAGGGGTGCACACGCAGGTGGCAGAGGAGCGATGAACGCCACACGCAGGGTGGCAGGTACCCTTCTGGCGGAGGGGAGAGGAAGTGACGGGGCAGGGCCTGATCCTGCCCACGTCCTGTGCACGCTGAGAGGCGCGTGCGGGGAAGTGTTCCTTTCCTCATTCTTTACATCGCACACATACGTTCTATCCAGTCTTTTGCATATTTATTTCACAGCCTAAGTGTTTTTTAAAATAGTGAAGGGACATGAAGGTGGCGAGCACTCTCGTGGGGAGGGTACATACGGGATGTGCCACTGCAGTGGAGGCACATGGGGAGGGGTGGCTTTGTCTCTAGGTGGGAAGCCACGGGCGCTGGCGGGCACGATCCTGGGCGAGAGGGCTGACGGCTGCTGCAGCTGAGTCCTGGGGAGGTGACAGGGAAGGGGTTGGCCGTGGTAACAGGAACCTTCTCTCATGGTCACAGGGACAGTGACTCTGGGCACAAACCAGGTGAATTTGTGGAGTGGGGGATTGGAGGTCAACCGCCTAACCTGCGTTTTCCCGGCGGCATCGGTGCGGCTGTCGAGCGGACGCGCGCGGGGGCGCCACGTGTCGTCGCGGCGCAGGAAGCAGCCGCCGGGCGCGCAGGCGGGGCGTGGCGCCCAGCCGGGGCGTGGCGCCCAGCCGGGTCGCCGTGAGCAGGGGCACCAAGCTCGGGCCAGACGGCCCCTCGCGTGGTCCTCTCCGCAGCGTTCAGGCCGGCGGGCCCGGACGGGAGGTCTAGGCGCCAACAGCGCTGGCTCCGCGGCCGCCGCCGCGGGGAGGGCGCACAGGGGGGCTCTGGGGAGGAAAGGATGTCAGTACTGCCCGCGGGATCTAGGCTGGGCGAGGAGAGGAACGGAGATGGGCGGAGGCGACATCAGTTAGACAAACGCTGCACTTAACGGATTTGGGATCTCGGTAAGGCCCAAGACTTGTTGCGGCGCAGGGTGGCAGGGTGCCAGGGCGAGCCGGGAAGTGAAAGTCAGAGACGCGTGCAATGGCTCAAAACGTTGCTAGCGGTGCCAAGGCAAAGGCCCCGGTGCGTGGCTGGCGTGAGGAGAGGAGCCGCGGACGGTGTCCCCAGCCAGGCCGGGCCCGCCGGGGGCGAGGTGGGCGGGGACGCGGGACGTCGAGCCTGTGACGCTGCAGGAGCGTGGTAGCCGGCATCAGGGGCGGGGTGTAGAGGTGCCACATGCCTCGTGATATGCAGGACTGTCCAGCAGCAGCGATCGTCCCAGCCCAAACAGCGCAGGGCCCCAGCTGAGCAGGCTGGCGGGGTGCTGGATGGGCAAGTGGGCAAACACGCGGGGAGGCGGCTTCTCGAGGGACGGTCAGGTTCCAGGTAAAGCAGAGAGGGAAGGGAACATTTGAGAGAGTGGCCTGTGGGGGCAGGTGCCCGTCACAGACCGGGAGTCCCAGAAGGCACACTGAAGGGACGGATGAGGACGAACAGCGGTGCTGGGCGGCCGAGGGGCGCACGGAGGGGCTGGGGATGAGGGCCGGGGCCGACGGCCCGCCCGGTGACTCGATGACTCGAGGTAAATAGGGCCGCCTGCCCGAAGGGTGTGGCCCAGGCGGTCTCTCACAGCAGGGAGGGCATCAGTTGAAACCACAGTCCAGAATTCTTAGTGGGGGCTTCCAGGTAACTAACTTCTCCCTGTAGCAACTCCAGAGGGTTCAAGTTCATGCTTCGTGTTTATTGGGGTGGGTACTCTTTGAATAATTTATATGGGTTGAGTCAAACTCAGTAAAAATCTAACAAATTCTACCACACGTCTGCTGACTTCTGGAGGGGAGTCAGCTACCAGGTCCTTCAGACGTTGGTGCGTCCGGGCTGCCCAGCCGCCTCATGCAGGAGACCCTCACTGCGGCGGGCAGCGTAGGTTCGAACCACAGACCCGAGTCTCACGGAATGGGGCAGTGTTCTCACACACTAATGTGGTCACGATTCTTGCTAAAATGCTGATTCTGATTCCACAGGTCTGGGTGGACTGGGATCTGCCATTTCAGAAGAGCAGTATGCTGGAAAGAGGAGCTTTAGACTGGCCAGGTTCAAATACACGGTCTTGGCTCCCAAGGGCCTGTGTAAAGCAGGGATGCTGTCACAGGCCGTTAGGATTAAACCTTGTGGATAAAGTACCTGGCACCACCCCAAGCACACAGCAGGGGTAGAGGATTTTCCTTTTCCACCTCCATTGTCTTGTCCTCAAAAACCACTCTGTCCAGACTTAAGGTGACATTCTTTTTATATTTTCTGGGACACTGGCCTTTTGTAGATTATCAAGTGCTTGCCAGGGTGAGAAGCTGGGGCATTTCTGTGGTGCTCACGCCCTGATCTGGGTGGAGGAGGAAGGGATGAGTCATCTTCAATCTTTGTTCACTGCTGAGTCTAGCAGCCGGGCTCCCTTAGACCTTCTTATTCTAGTGTTTTGATCTGGAAAATCCCAGCCCCCGTTTGAGTGGATACTCACTGGCAACCTAGACTGAGGGCCCTTCGCAGACTGAATTGCTCATCCTGGTCCATTTTGTTCACTTCCATGTTAAATGCACGTGCCTCTTCCAGTGCAGAGTAAGCAGACCTCACTCACTCACTCCACTTTGAGGAGCCTGGCTTAGTGACTTTGGTAACTTTTCTCCTGCGTTCTAAGCCTGTAAGAACAGCCTGTTGTATGGCTGGCGCTTCAGAAACACCTAAAGGTTGTCCAGGTACTAAATCCTGCAGATCACCTGGGAGTTTGGGGATGTGAAGGACACAGTGCAGCAACCAATGGTTTCAGTAGAACCAGGCAACTGTCCAGAGGGGTGTCAGGAAGGAGCTCAAAGCTGGCAGCTCTACTCCAGTCCTTAACAGCACAAGAGTGGTACATGTTTGATCGGGACCATGAAAACCTCCCACATCAGGGCAGGGCTGCAGAGGACAGGTGGGCCTGCTCGTTGCATCTCTGCAAAGCTAATACCACCCTCATCAGGCTGCGAGGAAGCTCTTCTTTACCCTAGCTTTCCTTTTGGCATAGACAGAAAGGAAACTACTCAAATTCAGTGTGGGGTCAAGGGTATGATCCTCTTTGGAAGGATTTTCCTTTTGGGGAAGTGAGCAAAGGCTCAGCAGTTCTCTGGGTTTAGAATCCATAGGGAAGTAAGTAGCTGTCACTAATTTCCCCTCTTGCAAAGTCTAGCATGAAGCTGTTAAACTTTAATTAGCGCAGACTTCTGCAGTGTTAGAACAAGGCCAATATCTGGGTGGTAAAGAGAACTTCAGGTGCATGTAATAGTGGAAAAAAGGGGACTACTGTCTTCTCCATGTACTTGGCTTTCTTTCTGCAGGCAAGACCGTAAAGTTGCTTTACCAGATATCAGTTTGTATCTTTATAGTCTATTAGAAACCTCTATTAGACTGGGGGCAGAATTCTCCTTTGCTTCTTGTCCTTGAGGTGAGAACAAATGAGTTGTAGAACATTCTGATTTGGCAAGAGTGTGGACAGGCATTGACGGACCACATGACTACCACTCATTTATTTAACAATACTTAATTCAAGAGCTTGTGGAATTAGTGGAGAGAAGTATCACTCAGCTAGGTGCAAAGAAGCCAGTGGAGGAGAATGGTGGGAGACTGGGGGGGAAGGGTCAGGTGGGAGGTACCAAGCAGCAGCAGATCGGTTCATGGGAAATGAGGAGCCCGGTCACTCAGGCCCTGCCTGCTGCTCCCAGCTGGGGGATTGCGTGTGTGGGGAAGGGGCTTCTCCTCTGCAGCTCTGTCCCCTGCACTCCTGGAGGGGAGTCCTTTCCAGCCTGCCCCACCCTGCCCGCATTGCCCTTGCTGCCTGTGAGCAGGTGTGGCTATGCTCTCTTTGACAGCCAAGGCGTTGGCCCAAGGGCCCAAGTGCAAGAGGAAGACACGGTGGAGAGGGGCTGGCCGTGTTCCTGCAGAGCAGGTAGGATTCCTGGGTTTTAAAAGTATACCCACCTCATCCAACACAAATACACAACAACATAGTCTCCTGAAGGTCAGAAAGCACTATGAAACATTTCTTATAAAAGTATTTTTAATAAATCAATGTATTTCAATGTTGTAACATGATAGCCCAATGCTATATCAAGGTAGCAAAAGTGAAGATTCCTGGTATTTTTATATAAACACTATGAATGACAGTACATTTGCATTCAACTTCACAAGAAATTATCTTCAGGTCCATGAAGATTCTTTGACAGCTGTAACACCCTTCAAACAGCGAAGATGTGTGTTGAACGAGTAGACAAAGTCTAATAATTGAGTTGTACTCTAAAACCAACCATACTGAAGAAAGGGGGATACGATGGCAGTATGGCCAGCTTGCTGAACAAAAACCCCTTCTTTGAAACTTAGTCATTTAACGAAAATACAGCATACATTAAAACTAGAGTATCTTACAGAAATGGAGCCATAAGGAGAGACACAGATTAGAACCCTGAAGCAGTGAATGTGTTTCTACCCGTTTTGAGATGGAAAGAAGCCATGGAGTTAGAGTCCCGCAGCTGTCTGTCATGTTGAATCTCCTCACACATGCGATGCACCGACTGACTGAAACCAGAATTCCCTGCTCTGTACAAATGCTGGTGATGGGTAACGTGCACTATTGCTGTGAGGCGGAGCAATAGTTGGCTGGAGTTCAGGCATCAAGTGGAGGCTAAGATTGTGTACCACTGCCTTCCACGGGCCCACAAGTCACACTTTCCAAAGCTGATACTCCTTTGGAAGGGTTAAAACAAAAACAAAACAAAACCCAAGGGTATTTAAAACAAACAGTAGAAACCAGAAGCTTCTGCCCCTCTAACACTATATTACTATCCAGCCCCCCCGTGAGGATGTTCCACTTGGTTACAACAAACAGACTCCGTCATATCACATGCATATGACCAGATTTTTGATACAGGATTTTTCTTAACGGAAATTAAGTTGAGAACAAGATTCTTTTCCTCCAAGGGCAAGTAAAAGCTGGTTAAATGCTAATTAAGTCTATTCTCAATTTTGAACTGTAGAGAAGGCCTGACTTGAATGGGATTTTCTGAAGGAAGACATTTATTTCTCAACCTCAGGCATAATTAGATTGCAAGGAATCTCATGTCCAGAATTTTATCTGCTGATTGTTAGGATAATTGGCCTTATAACACTATTTCTACTAGAACCCTTTACAGTATTTTTAAATTCTAAATGCTGCAGATGAAAGTAAATACAAAAAATTAATAATAAAATCATCTGTATGCTGAGTTGCTGGATTCTGGATAAGTGCAGATGGGATGTTCCCAGATATTCACCAAGAAGTGTCTAAGTAATGGCTATTCCTTTGTGTCCATAGCCCAGGTTTAAATCATGTATATTTGAATGAATTAGAAAAAACTATAATCCACATTAACTACATCAAACACTTTCTGCTAACCTGGGTTTTGGTGACAGGGCTCTTTTTAGTGAACATCTCACTGTTAGAGCCTTAGTGTTTTGTCTCAAATGTCACTTTGAGATCTGAACCAAGTCAACATTTCATAACGTTCATATATTCCTTTCTTCTTTCTGTCACAACTTTTAAAACAAGTGTTCTGCTCCCTAAAGAACTGAGAGAAGTTTGTGAAGGCTTTCCTCTCTGCAAACAGGACAGTCAAAAGCATAAATTAGGTTAAGTGGCTTCCCTGTCCTGAGGCCAATGCTTATAACCCAAGCTTTATTTTCCCTATGAACAGGGTGTGCTTAAGTTGATAAAATGAACGAAAATCAGCTTATGGAAAAGTTAAAAATGTAGTTTACTGAAAGATATGTATCTTCACACAGAGCAATAGCAAACAATCCCATCTAAAAGTTTAAATAAATGTAAATGACTTTAAAACTAACAACATATATATGAAGCTGAAGTCACTGCCTTGGATAATTTATATGCTGCATCTATCATTTTGTGTAGGACATTCATTCTTAAGGCAATGACTTGGTTCTTACAGCCAAGGGTAAAATAGAGTAGACTAGAACAGACAGATTCCCTGCTAATGAGGATTTATCTGTGGTGACAATTTCATTCTTAGAGTATGCTATGTAAGAGACATACATTTGAGAACATAGGACAAAATTTAACACACACAAATATAACAAGATGTCCATAAGACTAAGCATTCTATTATGAGGTGAAACAACTCCCATAACAAATTAACAAGCTCTGACATATTTTGATATGGTCCATAAAAAATATGAAATATCAAAGAATTACCTTTTGGGGGTGTGTTGCTTTAAACTCTGGTTTTCAAGGTCCAGTATAAAAAAGGTAGCCTGAATAGTTAAAAGCAGTTGAATGTCAACTCATACTGCTACTCAGAAGGCTACCACTTAGGATATTCCTACACCACCAACAAAGTCCTGTGCAGCGAGGAAATCGATGTGTATTAAAATAAGAATGAAGCCCCTCCCCCAAACATGTGCAAAAACACTTGTCAGTTACTAACAAGAATATCTTTAACAAAAAACATAATTGTAGAACAAGAGGCAGCAAAGCCAGAAAGACATAAGAGTATACCACCCTGCCTACATGGACGGATATTCGGGGTGAAACTGATCACTCCGTGGGCACCCTGGGAGACATGCTACTCACAGTGGCAGGAGTGCGAGGAGGAACTGGACCCTGGGTCCCACGCCCTCGGGCTGTGTGTGCTCCCTCACAGGCCAGCTGGCCCTCTGCATCCCGGTGCCAACAATACGAACAAAACAAACAGAAATCTAACGGACAATTCTTAAGCAGGTAATGACGACTATAGCTGTGTAAGTACCTTTTTGTGTGCCTATTATTTATGCCACAGCTCTGGCAATTGTCAGAAGTGTACAAAGATTACCTGCCTAACTTTTGAAGACATGAAGATTTTCTTCTTTCACGGTGGCAGGAGTCCATGCAAGATTTGTAAACAGCGATACAAAATACTGTAAACATAACTTAACAGAGCTTGTATAAAACAGAAGAAGTAAATCCAAATTTACAAGTGGGTAAAAAAAAAAAACAGAGGGCAGCTTCAGACAAAGTTCTCCCTCCTGCGCCAAGTGATTTTTTGATTACAAATATAATCCTGAGCTGAAAAACTGGGATTTGGGGGAGAGCCATCTTTGCATACAAAATATCCAAAGGACGCTTACTGTTTACTTTTCCCTACTGATATTCGACTGCCACAGACAGTTCTGAAAGTGAGACTCTGGAGACATTCATAGTTTAGTGTGGCGCCCGGGTCTGGCGCCCGCGGCAGCGCTCGCCATGGAAGCAGATGCGGCAGCATCCTCTGCTTCCTCCAGTTCATCCTGGAGCTCCTGGCTGACGCTGGACTGCAGGGCGGCGGGCGTGAGCCACTCCTTCGGCAGGCAACTCTGTAGAAAGGGGATGCAGGAGCTGAAGTAGGCGAGTCGATTGATCCAGCGAGGAATCTCCTTCCCACAAAGAATCTACAAAGGAGAGAGAGTTCTGCATTAGGTATGAGAGGTTAAGGTCGTGGGGTCCACCGTCAAAGAGTGGAGGGGGACGTGACCGGGCAGACTAGCCTTTGGTGCGGTCACTCCAAGCTTTGATAACAGCTAGGGGGCCCCACTGTCGGCTCCATTCCTTTTTTCTGAAAAACTGTGTTAAGCTGCTTACTTTTTACGTCTGTAAAATCAAGCTAATTCCACTTGGTTCCTCTCTTTGATCCTTGCGACTGCTTTGAAACGCGTGTTAAAGTGTCTTTGAACACACAGAAGATGCTTGTTAATGCAAGATATTATTAGAGTAATAGAAGCTCCAGGCAGTGTGAACAGTCAATCTTGGATATCTTCCCATCTGTGAATTCTCCTTGTTCACAGGTTCTTTTCTACTTTCCTCCAGTCTCTGTCTATAACTCTTTTTCCTGGTCCTCATTTTTTACCCCTTTACTTCTGTCCCTGACTCACTTGTTTCAAGGAGCTCACAGTGGTCCAGAAAGAGGTGTATCCCCCAGTGAAGACCTGGCTCCCTAACTCCTTTGCGGAAGCAGGCCTGTGTCAGCACAAGGCATGGAACCTGGCCACGCTTCAGCCTGAAGACTCGATTAGGAGTAGAAACGGGTGCCAGGAAGAATCCCTCCCAGATGATCCATTTGCCCACTTCCCATCCTGTGGTTAGGACTTCTGACCACACCCCCAAGACATTTCAAACAGTAACAACGGAGTCTTTTATAATACTAACTTTACTCTTATTTTCTTTTCTGCAAACACCACTGGGCTTAACTGAGACCATACCCCACTTTTTCTTCTTCTTCTTTTTTTTTTTGCCTCCAATTATGCCAAAGATAATGATCATGTGATCTGAAAGTGTCACCTTAGATATTTACATATCTTAACTCTGGAAAGAGGTTTCAAAGTATCTTATGTCCAAAAATTAGCTCCAATTTAAGTAAGCTGGCACCTGTAATTATGCAATGTAACTTTTCTCCCCAAAGATTTAGCCTAACCATTAATGGTTACTGCATTTATTTTACTTTATTTATTTGGTTCTTTTTGAGACAGAGTCTCACTCTAGTTGCCCCCGGCTAGAGTGCCATGGCATTAACCTAGCTCACAGCAACCTCAAACTCCTGGGCTCCAGTGATCCTTCTGCCTCAGCCTCCCAAGTAGCTGGGACTACAGGCATGTACTACCATGCTTGGCTAATTTTTTCTATATATTTTTAGTTGGCCGATTAATTTCTTTCTATTTTTAGTAGAGACAGGGGTCTCGCTCTTGCTCAGGCTGGTCTTGAACTCCTGAGCTCAAATGATCCACCTATCTTGGCCTCCCAGAGTGCTAGGCTTATAGGCGTGAGCCACCATGCCTGTCCTACTGCATTTATTTTAAATACTGTATCTCTGTCTTAGCTATAGGGATAGTGAGATGGTCTTGAGGGAATGTAACACATTCTAACCATTTCTGATTAATCAGCATCTATCCCAGTGCCGGGGAGTAGAGAGAGGTAGACAGGTACTTAAAAATATTTGAAGAATATGTACAAGAACTAGATCTGGGAGAAAGCTGAACAATGACCTTATATGATACCATATTTGGAGGTTAACCATGTAAGTGGTGACTAAAAATATTTAGGTTAATGTGATAGCCACTGCTGTCTACTCAACAGCTATTTCCCTCATTCTCCTTCCAGAGTCCTAATTTTATTTAGTAATCGACCCCTCTCCATATATCCATTCTATAGCTGAAGTTGACTTCATCCCAATCCCTGGTGGTATGGCCTGATTAGCCTAAAACAGAATTCTGTAATCTACAGTCACCTGTTTTTGTTGATAAAGTTTTCCTGAAATACAGCCAAGTCTATCTGTTTCTGTATTGCCTATGGCTCTTAGGCTGTAATGGCAGAGGCAGAGTTGGGACCATGAATATAGTCTACAAGACTAAAATATTTACTATCTGGTTCTTAAAAGTGTGCCAACCCTTGGTCAAGCCAATATTTTAAAAACTTTGAGTCATGACCCTAAGTAGGTCATTTAGCATTGCAACCTGAATTTTTAAAATGAAATAGATTGTAGGTTTTAAGGTAACTATTACTCTTGTATTAGTTGGGTCACAACGTAAAATGTATTTCTTACTGTGGCTAGTGGTTAAATAGTATTTAGTTTATATGGTAAAATTACTTTGCATTTAAGCTTTAATCCAGCAATAATTCTTCTATCCCAGAGATACTGTGGTAAAAATAAGAGGACATATGTACAGGGTTATTCATTGTAGCACTTTTTGTAACAGCAAAAGATTATAAAAACAACCCAAGAGTCATAAATAGGAAGCTGGTTGAAGAAATTATGGTATGTCCATAAAACGAAGTCTATTCAGCTGAGAAAAGAAAGAAGACTATCCCTGTATACTACTACAGAATGAACACCAGGATATACCACTAAGTGAAAATAGCAAAGTGGAGAAAAGTATGTATAGGATGCTCCCAAGATATAATAGTGGGATAGGCACAGAGTAATATTTATAGACATTCCCATTCCAAAAGGAAGAAAATGGAAGGAAAGAGTTATTAGTCCTAAGTAATTCTGAAATCCAACTAGGCAAATTCCATTAGGTTTCAAGGTCTGGGAATAATCCTCTGTGGCCCTGGCGCCTGCCTTCTGGGTCCTAGATTCTATCCTTGGGAGTTATCCTTTTTTTCTCTTGCTTATTTCCTGCCTATAGAATTTTCAAAGTCCAATAGCCTTCTTTCATTTTCTTTCAGTCTCTCCACCCAAACTGGCATATATTTCTGCTAATATAACACTTTCAAAAACATGGGACTCAAAAACTATGCATGTCATGGGATTGACTCCGTTAGAAAAGGGGGTCCTCTGCAGATCTTTCCTGGATAATCTCATCTCTCTTCCTGGTTGAGAAGATCTGAGTCAAATATTTATCTCTTCAGCCATAGCAAAAGGTGTTCTAGTCATAGCCTTGGCTTTCTAATAACACCGTCTGTAATCTGGATAGGCTGAGAAATTCCCAAGTCTTTAATATTAATTCCTTTTTTTTTTTTTTGCTTAATAGTTCTCTCAATTTTTCTTTCTCTCGTTTTACCAAAAGCAACAAGAAGAAAGCAGGCTGCATCTTCTACACTTTGCTTGGAAATCTCCTCAGCTAAATATCCAACTTTACTGTGCTTACCAATTCTCTTTGTCACACTTATCTCTAGGACAGAGATAGCATAGACAGCTAAGCTTTCTGCCACTAGATAATAAGGATCCCACTTTGTCCAGTTTCTAATAAGGTGTCCTCATTCCTTCTCAGCCCTGACAAGCAGCACCTTTAATATTCACATTTCTACTAACAGTCGATTCAAGGAATCCAGGCTTTTTCTATGAAATCCCTAAAACTTGCTCCAGCCTTTATCACCTAATTCCAAAGCCACTTCCAAATTTGTAGGTATTTGTTATGGCAGCACCCTATTGCAGGTATTAATAGTTGCCCTGGCTCTCCATGGCTGCTGTTAACAGATTATCAGAAACTGTGGCTTAAAACACTACAAATTCATTCTCTTAGTTCTAGAGGTCAAAGAACAAGAGTAGAGGGGAGTGGAAGAGAAGCTAGACTTCAATGAATATACTTTGTTTTTTAGATTTGACTTTGGAATCATGGAAAGATTTTATAGAAGTATAAAAGGAAATTTAAACAAAAAGGCAATCTCTTCAACAAGAAAAAGAAAGGAAACAAAGCAACCTAACTGTGTACTGAGTTGGTGGCATAACTACACAGAAATTCCTGGTAATTGTGAAACACATGAATTTGATTATGTATTAAGCCATACTCTAAAGAGAGAACTACAAAAAAAACTTCGCTTTCCAGTAATCACATTGTTGGTGGTAGTGGTGACAATATTATTCTAAAGCTATTTTATGTATAGAGTAAAACAAATGAGTAATTATGATGTTGTGCTGAGAACTGGTTTTTTTGTTTTTTTTTTTAAACCAGGAGTAGACAGGATATAGATGTACTATTGAAGTTATGTAAAAGCCCTGCAGCCTGAATTTGTAGTAGAAACATTACTATGAACCTGTAAATATATATAAAAAGTCCCAGCTCTACCTACTAGGGCAGGAGTGGGGTGGGATCTAGAAATAATCCAATTTAGTAGCAATCAACAACCGTAATGGCCAGATTAAAGTTTCTAGATACTTCCTACTAGAGAGAAACAGCTCTGTGGTAGAAATACGTAGATGAGCCTGGAATATCTTGTCTTACCAGAAAATGAAAAGGCTATCAAAGATTATCAGGGGCCAGGCGCAGTGGCTCACGCCTGTAATCCTAGCACTCTGGGAAGCTGGTCCAGGAGTTTGAGGTTGTAGTGAGTTATGATGATGCCACTGCACTCTAGCCCAGGGTGACAGAGCAAGAACTTGTCTAAAAAAAAAAAAAAAAAGGCCGGGCGCGGTGGCTCACGCCTGTAATCCTAGCTCTCTGGGAGGCCGAGGCGAGCGGATTGCTCAAGGTCAGGAGTTCGAAACCAGCCTGAGCAAGAGCGAGACCCCGTCTCTACTATAAATAGAAAGAAACTAATTGGCCAACTAATATATATACAAAAAATTAGCCGGGCATGGTGGCGAATGCCTGTAGTCCCAGCTACTTGGGAGGCTGAGGCAGGAGGATTGCTTGAGCCAGGAGTTTGAGGTTGCTGTGAGCTAGGCTGACGCCACGGCACTCACTCTAGCCTGGGCAACAAAGCGAGACTCTGTCTCGAGAGAGAGAGAGAGACCAATCAAAAAAGATTCAGAAGCCAGCTTGAAGAGGCTTCTATTGATCAAAGAAAGATGGGATGGGACAGGAATAGTATCTGAGACATATCAAATATTTTTACATCTGGGGAGGAGGGGAAATTTATGATACTAGATTTTCAAAAAAGGGGAAAAAAATTGGTTGCCTTTGGAGAATGCCAGGGAACTACGTCAGGATCCCCAAGACCACCTCCAGGTCTGATT